GGTCCTGGGGAAGATTATTGTTATTTCAATCATCTGGCTAAAGAAAGAGCCTATTGTCATGTGTGATTATTGGCCTAATCCTGCAAACCATGCACAATGCTTTCAAACATGAAGTCAGTAAAGGTAAGCACAACAATATCTATATATATTTCAGGAGCTATTTCTACCTTAGCAAAAGAGTGAAAACACCGGCAGAGAGACAAGCTAATGTTGTGTACCACACTTTCCTACTTGTTTGAATTATAAATAAACAGAGCAGGACCTTGTTGGGAAGGGCTCCTTTTTTCTTCTGCCTTAGTGTACAGTAACAGTGATCTGGTTGATGAGTGTGGGTCTAGTAATTCTGATAATACTGTTAAATATATAATATTCTTATTTGACACTGAAAGCTGGAGAGAGGTAGTCATCTTGATAGAGAAAAAAACTCCATTATTGAATGGGAATATTTTTAGAATTAGTCATTTATTGTGTGAATCAAATCCTATTCGTTGAGTGCACATGCATGTTATCTGTTCAGTGTTTGCAAAGATGTGGTATATGGTACAAATGGTATGAACTTCACAGCTTCTTTGAAACGCTAGAGTGAGTGCTCTTAGCATTTTTTGATGACTCACACTGTCACTCGTGAATTAATAAGTGATCTGAACTCTTCAGTGTAATGAACCCTATCATTTATTAAAAAGGGAAAACTGTTCCTGTAATTAGTGTGGTGATGTTTGATAAGAAAATTCTGTTTTTGAGGGACTACTATTATTAAATATTGTCAGTAAATAGTGTTCAATTTTATGCTTGGCAAAGCAGTTTCTGGTAGCCGACTTGATGGAATTTAGTGAAGAATTTGTTGTAAAAGTGTTCCTTAACAAATTTTGTCTACTATTATAATTTCTTTAAAAAATGAAAATATTGAGAATATTGAAAAGATGGGAATTTTTAGTAAAGGGTTCTGTCCAAGACATGTCTTCCTAAACCCCAGAATGTTTTCATGGGATTTGTGGGTGATTAAAAGGGCATGAAAAAGAATTAGTGACAATGTGTTTTTTTTCCCTTTTAATGTGTATTTTCCCTCAATGCACATTAAAATTGTTGATTGGAAGGTGGTCTCTGTATCCTTCAAAATGGCCTTCCATTTTTTTTTAATGTTCCAAAAGTCAATGGGGGAAGCCTCTGAATTCTTACTTTTTTTTTTTTCACCAAAAAATAAGAACAGTTTATACTGCTTTCACTGTATCAAAAAAAGATATAATTCAGAAGACATTAGGCACCACTGCTTGTCTGTTTTCATTTACTCTCCATAGTTGAATGCAGGAAAGGAAACGAAAAGTCACCATGAAAAAATGTAATTTTTTTTTAGTATTTAGTTATGAGGGATATATCTAAATACAGCCTCAAAATCCAAATAATGATAGATATTGTTAAAATGTTACCTGGTAGTAATTGATTCATTTTGGGGAAAAAAACGTTGGAAAACCATGGCTGACACTCTTACTGTTTTCCAAGACTGATGTTGAATTTAGCCTCATTCCTTAAGATGCGTATGAAAATGAAGAACTTCAAAAGAGTGTCATTACATTTCAAAAGTGTTGTTTTAAAACCTTTTTTAGCACTTAATATAAGTCTGTGTGTAGTCGATCTTAAATTTCAGTTGACTTGAATATTGAGGCTTAACATCAGTCTTCAAGATTTAGCAGAGTGATTTGCAGGCACAAGTCATTAAGAGCTTGAGACAGAAATAGTCATATATGTTAATAGCTTTACAGATCAGCAAACCAGTAATTTCAGCGAGAATGTGTATGCCTGTGATGTTATTCCCATGCATGATTGTACTACTAGATTTTTTAATGCATGGGTATATATATATATATATATATGCAGAAGTATGATTACCGAGTTTACATTTCTGATGTAATTGGTTGCTCATATATATTTCATTAATAATAAGCAGACTCCATGTAAAATGCAGCCCTCAGAGAATTTCTGTTGTCCAGAAATTAAATTTAGAAGATATGTGGTTTCTACATTGTGTATCTCTTGTTATCAGAATTGTGGATTATCTTCAAAATAATGTTACAAAGGTCAACTCTATTGTACAGATGAGTTGCCAAGCTATAGACAAAACATTGGAGGCTTTTTGTAGGATCTCAAATGAAAAGGAGGGGAAAAATTGATAGAAAGATTATCACATTATTAGTTAGGCAGCTGATTCCAAATGACATATACTGCCAATAAAATCTCCCCTTTTTAGCTTTAAAATCATCCTCAAAATGACTCTGTTTGCTCCAGTGGTTACCTATCATCCCAGAGTCTAGAAACACACATGAAAAACAAGTCAGATTTCTATTTTGTGTATCTGTGCTGCTCTGTTGTGCTCAGTGATAAATGCTCTCAGTGATGGGTTGGCTTAAACTTCCTACCATTTAGATTTCATGTCACAAAGTGTGATCTTAAATTTAGTGCCATCTTTGGAAGCTTGAATATAATTTTAAAAAGGAACAGAACCTATATTTCAGCTAAGTGGACCTTTTATTTCCATTCCTGTCACTATGTAATCTTAAATGAACAGAAGTAAAGATATAAACAGATTTTGTTGGAATCACAGAGTCATAGAAATAGCCTGGTTTGCAAGAGGCCTTAAACATCATCTTTAGATAAAGAGCTGATCCCCTTGTGGTCAGGGACACTTTTTGCTAGCCCAGGCTGCTGAGAGCCCAGCCTGGCCTTGAACACTGCCAGGGATGGGGCATTCACAACATCTCTGGGCAATCTGTGCCACTGCCTCACCACCCTCACAGTGAAGACGTTTTTCCTAATATCTATCTATTAATAATAAGGTTGTATATGTATTATATAATAAGTATTAATATATATTCTATAATATGTATTATATATAAGTATGTATTTTTCCTACCAGCAGCTCTAAGAAATAGATTTTCCAATTAACCCACACTGTGATTTGAACATTCAGAGTGTGAAGTGTTTGTCCACGGCAGGGCACTTCACAGGGAAGGTGTAGCTCTGAATGTGTTCATGGGCTTCTATGTCTCTCTGTCTCTGTGACAGCTGTGATGACTCAGAATATTAACCAGATCACTTTTTAATGCTACTTTAGTTGAGCAGCTGCAAAACAGATAGCTTTTCAGTTGTTTAGATTATTTTTTTGTCATCCTCTTGTATCTTTCCTTATGAAATTAAAAAACTCATAATTGTGCTAAGATAGGCTGTAATAAAGCCAGTGCATGCAGGTTTTAAACAGTTGTTTTAGCACTGTAATTTTTAAGCACTTAATGAAAGTCATTGTTTTAGATCTAGTCATGTAAGTGTAAAACTATGAATGTCTGCCCTATTAATCAAGTTGCTTTTGAATTCTAAAGAGATTCTGAGGTAGGAGTTTGCTCAGTGAGACATAATTGTTTTTCCAGCTCAATACAGACTAGTCCCATTATTCATGTTTTCTTTTCAATAAGAACTCACACTGTAATTCTAAGCACTTATGATAATTACAAAGGACATTTTTTCTTTTTCTTTTCCTTTTTTTCCCTTTCCTCTAAAATGCTTCCCCCCCCACCCCCTCCATTGGCATTATAACAAAAAGCAGAATATTATAACCATTTTAAATTCTAGTTGGAACACTTGCATTTTGCCTGGCAAATGTTACCCATTTTCTTCCTTGACTATGCTGTACAGCTGTGTGTTGTTAAACTGCTGTTGCATATGCCCCAGGTTTTGTGCATTTCAGAGCTTATGAAATATGTCAATTGTGACTGTCCTACAAGGAATTTGCTTACTGTAAAGGTGATTTTTTTTTATAGATTAAAATTGGGCTTAGTGTATACTTATCCAGATAAAGCCTGAGGCAATCAATAATTGAAAACATGAAGAGATTAAAAGTCCATTATATATATACACAATTAGTAATGCAAGTATCGTCATGTTCTTGTAGAGGTGGCTAAAATGAGACCTTTCTAGCAGTTGGTATTGTCTAATCTCTTACATAAATACCTATTATGGCTGTGCTTATTCTGTTATGGTAATGAAAGGCTTAAGCCCTCAAATCCATCTTCTCTGGTGTTTCACTCTTTCTCTGAGCTGGCTCCAACCTGGAGCAATGCAGCATGCTTGTACAGTGGGAAGCCAGCTCCAGGAGGAGCTGATTGGAAATTAAGTTCCTATTTGCTAAAACTGTGTGATGAAGCCAAATATGAGTTTATTTATTGCCTACAAAGACAATATATAGGTATGGTCAATGGCTTCTGTTGCAATTTGGCTTCTTACTTACTGTATGACTGTAAGCTAGATTTTTTCAAAAGTAGTCAATTGTTTTGAACTTTCCAAATTTTCCATGTGTAACCATAGCGTTTTCACATGAGTGCCCTAAAAACTTTTTTGATTCAACCCAAAATGAATGGAGATACATTGGGTTTAGGACAAAAGACACCTCAGCTCAGCTGGTGCCTTTTCATGGGTTGGGAGGAATGTGAAAGGTAGATGGATATGATATGAATGTCCATAATTTCCTTTTGAGACCTACTGAAACCAGTTGGCTCCTTTATCCTCAGATAGTTACCTCAAATGTAATGACCCTTCCCTTGGAAATCCTTTTTCTTGTCAGTAGAGACATAGATATATCTGTATCTCTGTCCTTAAAATTCTGAATGTGTCTTCTCTCTCCATGAATTGCATGGGGAATCAAAGGCTGTGTTAGCTAGAATGGATTTCTTAACCTTTCTCTCCCCTACTCTGACAGATTTTGTACAGAGTAAGCAGATTGGGTTTCAGACCATAATTTCACTTTAGAGTAGTTTAGTGTAATAGGTGATTAATCTACTTTTTTCTGTCCCTCCCTTTTTGCTTCCTGTCTGTTTGGAGAGGGTGTAAAGACCAATGCAAGTAAGAAATCCTGTCATCAGTAACTGGAGATTGAGATCTCTAAAGAGAAGCTGCTGTTAAAGGTATAAACCATGCCATCTATTTTTTATTCACTGATACCACCCAGTGTTATGTGCTTTTGGATTTATGAACACTTTTATTTGTATCTGCATGACCTGTTTATCACTGAAAAGCTACTAGGGGAGGAGATTAGAGAGAAAATTGTATTCTTGTCATACAAATGGTTGGTAATATTTTAAAGCACCGACACATGTGATGCTAATTTTTGCAACCAGAATTCATACAAACATGCCTGAAAGTTACACATGATACAGGTACTGCACAGTGTGTGATTTTCATAAAGTGGTAAAGCATCAAGAACACATGATGAATGATTTCAGTACGTGATTAGGCCCATGAGTACTCAACAGTTGTTGTCGTGGATTAGGCGGCACTTCAAAACCTTGAGATAGTTGTCAATTTTGTGGGAATCTCGGCGGAGGCAGTGCAGCAGGTTGTAAAAGGCAAAGAGTCTGGAGTCCTCATCAGCAAGCTGCAGCGATGGAAGTCCGTCCCAAGGAGTGTAAATGTCATTTTCGACCTCCCCAGACTGAACCTAAATACACAAAGTGGTATTAATAGTAAATGATAGTGAACCTGGCTGGATGTAGAAGGCAGCATTTAAGATACTGTCCTTGAAGAATGCTAGTTACTAGTGTATGGTTTCCAATGTGCTTTCTGTTGTGGCTCACATTATTTGGTTCAATGTTCTATATATTCATTCAGATTTTGAATGAACTTGTCAGATTTTTCAGTTTATTTTCCTAAAATATGTAAAAAAACATAACTGTCTCAATAGGGTTTTAAGATAATTAGTGTGTTAACCAGTATTCAGGGAAACTTTGCAGTGAAATCAAATCTTCCTTAATGTTTGGACTCATCAGGGACATGTCACTTTGGCTCCTTCCAACTTCAAAACTTTGTTAACACTTGTTCTTAGAAGTTGTTTGTGTGCAACAAAGACTAGTCTCAGTCTTTATCAGAAAAATCTCTCAGTAATACATATTCAGAAGTACTGGGCTCCATAAAAAATACTGAGTGATATAATGACTTCTAATGTTAGAAAGCTACATGTAGGAACACATGTAGTGAGTTAGTATCTGAGGTGAAAACGGTTTAGGTCTCCTTGCTTGAAGACAATAATTTAATTTCTCTTATCACATAAATTTACCTTTTATGGCAGGAAGGAATTCTGTGCTTGTGCACCATCCTTATTTCACACAAGTCGTACTTTGTAAAGACATATAGGAGAGTATCTGTGGAGCCACTATCGCTCAGTTTAAGCAAAAGGCAAAAAAAATATACACCCACCATGACTTAAAAATATGGTTTGATGCTAATGAATGAGCCTGTCTTATCTCTTTTTGTAAATAATGTGAATGAGAAGGTGGTGACAGGGCAACTGGAGCAGCACCTGACTTCTTACTCTTATCTTGGATCCTCAGCTGTGCCCTTTTCACACATGGATGTGTGATAGAGATGTATTTGATTACACTGATAAATGTATTTGTAGTCTGGATGGTATGAGGCTTCTGAGTGAAGAGACACCTAACTGAAAGAGAAGCTGTGAGTGATCTAGTGGAAAATGGTGGATAGAGTGATGGTGGTACTCTTCACGCTGTTCAGCTGCTTGGAGCAGTGGAGTCATAACCTCTTGTCAACATCTAGCTCACTAACAGAATGATAAATTCAGTGACTAACAGAGGCCCCTTTAAAAATAAACAGGCGAGAGCTGGTTTTATTCAGGAAAGTTTTCAATCAATTACTAGTAACAAGAGTACTCAAGTATGGGATTTGTGAGACAACAGCCTTGTTGTCTAAACTCACAAGCATAGGGGGAACCAAGTCAGACAGAGTCCAGAGGAATCAGTGAAGTGTGAAAAGAGAAATGAAAGATATCAGGGTTACTTTACTGTATGTCACATCTTTGCAATAGCCCAGACTCCCAGAGTTGTTTTAAACACGGTGTGTTTCCAAAACCTCTGCATAATACTTATTTGTAGATAGATACACATAAATATGCTAAAACATATATATGTATATATAAATACATGCATATGGAAAAAGTGGAGATGCATCCTTAAACAATCAGGCTTGCAAATTGAAAATACTCAAGGATAGAATGACCGTAGTCAGTCCTGATGATTACACCTTCCCCTGAGGCATGACTGTGAGTGTGATGGGTTATTCTGTGACAATCATATCACATTGTCCCCTTAGAAATTGCAAGATAGCAGAAGAAAAGAAATCTGAAAGAAGAAAGCTGAAAAGTTCTGACTCGGCTACTCTGTCTCCCTTTTTTATCTTCACATCTACTGTTTTCTTTCATATTCCAGGTAGGGAGAGCCTGTCAATGTACATGTCTTCCTTAAAGCAATTGCCTGGAAGGGTGTTAAGGACTTACTTACTCGCCCAACTATTTTCTCCATTCCTTCTAGAAGTCGTTTGTTTTGTTCTTCAATCTCCACAGCCTTCCAGAGAATGGTTTCTGGAGCTTCTTTGATTCTTTGTACTTCAGAGGCCAGGTGGATCAGAGGATCATTCCAGGAACGCAGAACTCCCAGTATTATATTCAGTAGGTCTTCATGCTGCTCACCCATAGTAAGGAAAGGTGGTTAAAAGAAGAAAGCTAAATTCTGGTAAAATTAGAAGGTATTTAGAGCAGTGTCCTCAGACACTGTGATTTAGGGACTTATTCCTGGACCTATCCCTGAATGTGCCCTATAGCTCTGGCTTAGATACCTATATTGCATTTTTGAAGTTTGTCTTTGGCGTCACCATGTTCTATGATATTTGCACAAGCCATATTACAGTGGAAAATATAATCGAATACTCTCAGCATTAAGAACTAGCAAGCATATGTCTCATCTCTGTGAAAGCAAACCCAGAACTCCTTATCTGATTTTTGATGAACGTTTTAAAATCCACTTTTTTTTTTTTTTATTTTATTTTTTTTTTTTTTTTTTTTTTTTTTTTAAGTTTAGTGCTGACTGGAAGGTACACATTATGGTAAACCAGTAAATAGCTTTTATTGCCTCTATGTAACTCATCTGTCCTCCCCTTTGAACAATAGTGCTTCCAGCAGTAGCTCTCTGGTTTTAAAAATTGCCCTTTCTTGTGGGCAATGGGAATTCATCAAGCTTATGGTTAAGGTCATGGCAGTATTAAACTTTTTCTTTGCTAGATGCACAACCCAGGGCTGTGAATTCTATTGTTCCCACTAGAATTTCCAAATATCACGCTGAGAAGCTGGTGATACTGTGGGATTGTGAAGATACCACCACGATGAAACTGATAGAGATTTTGCTCTGGAGCAGCCCCATTTATATAGCTCTGCTTATTTTTTTCTCCAGAGAATTTTCAAATCGTATCTGTAAGCATAGGCTGAACAAGATTATCTTCATCATTACTGGAGTTTAATGATGTAAGTATGTAATATGTTTCACTTTACAGATATTTCTGAAGTTTTCACACTAGAGTCTTTGTATTTGGATGATGATGTGACCATTTTTGCCTACTGGTAACAGGAAGAAAATCCAGTCAATGTTTTTTTAGCAATGCCAGTGTTTCGAATTACTGGAAAACTATTTACCTCTGTCTACATACAGAGATGTGTTTTTATGTTTGTAAATATATAATTGTTTATGAAATGTTTTAAGATAACTTTTAAAGGCTGTAGTGTTCTCAGCACTGCACAAACATGGCATTGTTCCATGAGGTAGTGTTTTAACTGGAAATAAGATGCAGTGATTAAATGTACCATATAGGAAAAGGAAGGGGTGATGAAAATCACTGGTACTTATATGTGCTGTATGGTTTGTAAATTAGTATCAGCAAATATTAAATCAACTTTGGCTTTTTGGTGCTTTCCTCTTCCTGCTTTCTTATTCCAATTGGGTTGACCTCCCTCACTCTGACAGATGCCTCAGTATTCTGTAACCCTCCTTCCCTGCCTTCCCCTGCTCTGTCTTACACTGAATTACACTGGAAGTGGGACTTACATGAATCTGCTGAGCCTGTTCCTTATCTTCAGGAGTGGTTAAAGATGCAGTGTGGCAGCTATTGACAGCTTTTGCAATGAAACCCCGGCCCTGGGCGTAGCGTTCATCCTGCAGATCAGCATGGACATGGTATTGAGACAGAAAGGTAAGAGCTTCAGCTCAAACACTGTGCTAGCTAATTGCTCTTCCATACCTTTTATTGCTGCCTTTATGCTGTAAAAGTAAAGTTTCTGGTGAGTCTCTAGAGTGGAACTGGCACCCAGAAAATGTCCCACAGATGAAGAATAATGGGAAAACGAAATCTTTTAATAGAAGTGCTAGGGATCTTAGCAAAATTCAGGACTATATCCTGATTTGGTCACCACTGGGACTTTCACCGTCTGTTCAGCAGTCATATTTGTTTACTTATTATATGTTAACATATGTTTGTGATTAAAAGTATTAAATTGCAATTTTATATTTTCTTCCTTTCAGGAAAAGAGTACTTACAAATTCATTGAACATTTCCGAAGAGAGGAAGTGGATGTAGTGTGAAAGTTTAACTGCTCGGTCAAAAAGTTCCTCAAGGGAAAGTTGGCAATTGACAGATCCATTGGGGCAGATGGGCAAAGAGGTCACTCCTTCCTTTGTCAGAAGCATGTGGGACACCAGCAGGGTCACCAGCAACAAACCTGTTCAAGTTTAAAACACAGTGAAATGGGCTCACGTGGACTTGCAGGTGTGTTTAGAAGCAGCTGTCAGATCCACATGCTGGGTGATTTGGGTTGTGCTGTCACAGGGTTCAGGGTACCCCCTGTGCTGGCTGCTGAGCAGCAGTGCAGGACAGACACACTGTAATTCTATAATTCTTTTATCCTTTCTCCCCTCTGTCATCCTGGTGGTATAGCAGAGCCTGTTACAGAGTTCGAGGAGACAAGGTAACCTGTGCTGTAGTGTACAGTGAATTCTGAAGTCTCTTACTATGTGTCTGGCTTTATAACAGAGTGATAAACAGAATAAAAAACAAATCAAACTTCTTCACTGTGAAAACATAGAAACATAATTATATTTTCACAGATATATAAGTTTGGAAAATAGATTGGTCTTTCTTTTTTTTCCCTCCTCCTCCTCCTCCTCCTCCAAGAGGTCCTTTTCTTCTTTGCAAACATTTGGAGTTAAAATTAATTTTTTGTGGGAGGGTGATTAGGTCACTCTTAAGGCTGTTATTGTCCTGGGAGTTCCTTCAAAAGATTTACAGCTGTGCTTCTTTGCTCTTTAGAGTTTAACACTAAATTTTCTACATCTAAGAAATCAGTGATAGTTTTTGTCTTTTCTCCTGAGCTTCTGAAACTGCAATTCTCATTATCTAAAGCACAAAACCTCATTTGTTTAAAACTTTCCATGTTAACTTAACAGAGTTAAGTTTTTTATTCAGTGAAATAAAATATACAGAAAAAGACAATGGCAAATAATTAAAAATATTTGGTAAATGAATGAATTTCTGAGACTTCTGGAAATTGACCTGTTACCTATAGTCGTTCACTAGACTTACTTAAAATGCTAAATTAAAGTGTCCTTCATAAATCAGCAAAACTATCCCTAAAGATGTCATGAGATAAATTTCTTTCTAGCTCTGCATTCAAAAAATTTGGATTTATACAGTATTAGAATGAGACTTCCTCCTCCCCCGTGAGCAAGGTATGTGCTGGACACTGCAGTCAGGAAAGTACTTTAACTTATAACTCTATGAATAGGAAAACCTGAGAGTTGTTGTCTTGGAAAGTCAATGACCATTTTGAAAATATTAATTTCAAAATTACCACACCACCTCTAGACTTGTGAGTAATGATGTCTAGTCACAGCCTCCTGAATGGTGTAGCAAACCAGTCCAGATCCAAACTTTCACGTGCAGGTGTGATACCCCTCAAGCCAATTTTTTGTGGCACTGCCCAATACAAAGGTACTCTTAGAAGACTAAGGCATCAAGCTATTTAATTCAGGTTTTGCCCTTTCTGGAAAACTAGATGGTTGGAAGACCTCAGTTCCTAGATCTGTTACATTTCAGCTGCCTCTTAATTCAATCAAAATGTAAAAAAAAAATATAAAAATTAGCAGCAGGTTAATGTCAAAATTCTTACCTTTCAGTGAACCACCCTTGGTGCTCATGGTAGGGATCTTGGATGATGGCTTGCTTTACCAGAAAGAAACCTCAATACTTGTGTTATTCTCTGCACATACCACTTTTATATACACCATCAGGGTCCATTTTGCATACATTCAGCAGGTTGTGGAGTTTGCCTCGATAATTACAAACATCAAATTGCCTTTCTTCCACATTCATATTCAGTATTTTTTGGTTCTCTTTTTTTTTTTTTAATTTTAGCTGTGAGGGGGAATTTCATTAATAAGTTGAGCTGTGGGATCCCAAGTATGATTGAATGAAGAGAGTGCCAATATTTTGCCCTGAATGAGGTGAAAATGCCATCAATCCTAGAAATCTCCAGTTCTGAGACAGATGTTCTCAATGTTTTTAGCCTTCAGTTCCCAGTGCCCACAACAGTCTTCTCACCTTCCTTGTTGCCTCAGCCATCTAAGCATGGCTACATTAAAATTCTGGCTAACTGTGGGAGGCAAAGAGTAGTTTACAGTATCCCCATTGAGAGAAATAGCATAAATTGAACAGAAATTAATCCAGAGTAAAGGGAATGGAGGGTCCTGGAAAGATAGGTCACTACCTGTAAAATTATGACATTCATGGTCAGTTAAAAAATATATTACACAGCACAAATCTCGGTTTAACTGATTCTCAGTCTGAGAGATGTTTAGAGGAACAGGCTGAGATTTTATATTAAAAAAAGTAAAAAATTAGAAGAATTGAAGAGGTAGAAGTTATATGTTTACTACTTAATCTGAAATGTCTCATGAATAAGTTAGCGGTATTTAAAAAGAAACGAATCCAACCTCTACCAAACCATGAAATAATTTTCTACACTCAAAAATCCTCTGCGTAAAAGATGGGCATTTCCACCACATGCAAAACACGTACTGTCGTCAGCAGTGAGGTTTGTTCTCGATTCTGATGCGTCTGTGGTAACCTACAAACCAGCCTGAGCAGGTTGGCCCTGTTTTCTTCTTGTGTGAGGCTCATCTGCATGAATATGTTAGCAAATATATAACCTTTCATCTGTTTCTCAGGTCCATTTACCCATGAAGAAACTTTCCAAATTAGATGGTCATCATGAATAAGGTATACAGTGTTAATGAGTTTTCTTCCCTTTAGACAACTTGTTCCATACCTGTGGAATGGGTATACGTGCAACCCAGAATCCGTCATTATTTCACGATTCTTGAAGTAATGATGAACAAGGGAGAAGAAAGGCTAAGCATTTAAGGAAGGAAACAAGATACTCCAGCAATAAATCAGAACCAGCAACAGGTGGTCTACCTTTGCTAAGTTCTAGGATGTTTGCTAGAACAGTTTGTTCTGCTCAGAGGCTGCACCTTCACTGGAAATTGAGGTTCTGCTGAGTAAATGAAGCAGTTGTCTGCAGCAGGAAAAGAGGCAATTTGATGAAGGCAGCAATATTAGAATGGGGCCACAGCAAAAGCTCTAGTATGGATGGTAGGAAAAACAGCTGTCTTCTAAATTGCAGTTAATGGCTTATGAGCTTGATTTAATTCAGCTTCATTTGAAAACCTGCCCCAATAAGATTACGGGTGAGACTGAAAAATCCTGGTACCTTACATTAGAAGAGTCCTGTGAACTAGATGAATGAACAGTTAGTTCTCAACCCACCTGTTGCTCCTTCATTCACTACTCTCCTTTTCTTGGCATTTTGAGGGTTTAGTAGTGGGCCAAAATAAGGCACTGAGTTAATTATTATTAGGCACTGGATAAGAAAGGTAGCAGTTAAACTCCTTAGTCTGTGTTCTCTGTTTTTGGACAGGGATGCCTCTCTGAGGCCTGATGGCATCAGCTGAAGCCAGTATCTTCAAATGACTTAGCTTGGAGAATAACCTGTCTCTTGTTGTGTAAATGTAGACAAGCACCTTAAGCTTAGATCACAGGAGAATGGTTTATTTGAAATCATTGCATGGCGTTTTAATTAAAACATTCTACCACAAAATAATAGACTTTAATTTTCTCTTGCACCTTTCATCCTCAAACTCTACAAACATGAATGGATTTAAATTGTCAGCAATCAAGAATCATAGGCAGGAGAGAAGCCAGTCTCTATAAAGTAGATAAGTATAAAGGTGAAGTTCTTTTTACCAGGTGTGAGAACCGACATAGAGGTTGCATTTATTTGTGTCTGCACAGGAAGTCTTGAGGGAAAAAATGAAATAAAATTCCTGATTCCCAGACCTGCACTTTAAGTGAAGAATATAATTTCTTACTAGTACCAAAGAGGAAGAGTTACAATAACCAGAAATAAATAGATTAAAATATTAATTTTCTATTATAAATTAGTAATTTTGTCCTATTTAAAAGTTGAATAAAAACTTGAAAATAGGTGAAAATCTTCCTTCTGCCTTTTGAAAGTGACCTGGCTTTGTATGCTCCAAAGATGTAGAATAGAACTTGGCATCTTGTTCCCTCTGAATATTGTCTGAATCATGGAAAGGAACTTCATTCTAGCCCCCAGTAACCACCTAATTACCTAATTTTAACAATAACTCAAGGCAGCACTATAACTAGCTGGACAGTTATCAATACTGAGGAAAAAGCCTCTGAAACAGCATGAGGAACTACAAAGCACAGCTCTGATTAGCAGCATGTTTCCATCTCCCTTGGTCTTTTACTTCTGCCTTAGAAATATATATATATTTTTTTTTTTTAATTATTACATTCCTTTTGTCTTCAAGGTTTTTCCTGGAAATAAAATAAGTAATTGTTACCACTCAGTGTAAATAATATATCAAAAGCAGGACTTACTATAGGCAGACTTTATTATATAGCTTTTAGCTCATTATTCATGCCTCATAGGCATTATATGTGATGTATCAGTATTACAGATAACATTAAGTGCTCATTTCTCAATCACCTTATCTTTCCATCTCATATCAGGTTTCAAACCATGAATTAGACTGTGGCATCTTGATTGAGAACTATTGATCAGTACTGGAAGATCGAATATTCCTATTCCATTTTACTTTTTTTAAAGTTTTTTAGATATGCAAAGTCTTGTGTCTGATTGATGGCTAATGCAGAAGAATGAAAAACCTTTTCTTATAGAATAGCTCCTTGCAGAATGCTTAAGTAATTTAATTAAAGACTGGTAATATCACTTGATTTTGACTTTTACTTACTTGGATATTTAACTTTAATAACAGAATATTAGTTGAGCAGAAGTTTGAAACATCAAATTTTTGTTATGTTTTTAAAAGATGATCCCCAAGTGCATATCAAGCAAAGAGAATGTTCAGAAAAATATTCCTATATGTGATCTAAATGATTGACTCTTTGGATACAAAATAAAAATATTTAAAAAAAGGAGTTTACATGTTCTTGTATCTTGTATTCTTGTGTTGCACATGCAATGAGAAATACAAAGAAGGTCAAGATCCCTCTGGAATTAAATCTGGCAAATGATATCAAGAAGAACAAGAAGGGCTTTTTCAAATGCATGAATAACAAAGGAAAGCTAAGAATAATATGGGCCTGTTACCAAATGGAAGGGACATCCTGGTAACAAAGGATGCAGAGAAGGCAAAACTGCTGAATCCTACCTTTACACCAGGACAAGACCAGCTTTCAGGAATCTCTAACCTGGGAGACCAGGAAGGAAGGAAGACTTTCCCCTGACCAAGGATTGGGTTAGAGAACACCCAGGCAAACTTGAGATCTTCAAGTCCATGGGCCCATCCAGGATTTATCCACAAGTGCTGAGAGAATTGATGGACACCATAGCAAGGCCACTCACAATCACCTTTGAAAGCTGGTGGCACTCAGTAGAGGTGCCTGAGGACTGGAGAAAAAGAAATATCATTCTGGTTTCTGAAAAAGGCAAGTAAGAGGACCCAGGGAACTCTCAGACTCTCAGCCTCACCTCAATCCCAAGAAAGGTGATGGAGCGCCTCATTCCAGGGATCATCTTTGTCCGCATGGAGGACAAGAGGATGATCAGGAGTCGTCAGCTATTCCTGATACACTAAAGGCAAATCATGCTTGGCCAACCTAATTGCCTTCTATGATGAGCCAACTACCTGGGGAGATCAGGGGAGAGCAGTGGATATTGTGGAAAGCAGCTCTGTGGAGAAGGACCTTGGGGTTTTTGTCTTTCTTTCATAGAATAGTTGCTAAATTATCCTGTCAGCTTTACTTAGTGGTTGGCTTCAAAAAGTTGCAAAACTGCTTTATCTGGATCAAACCCAAATCCTCAGAGCACATTAAATTTTCATAAATCATAAAACTGCAGAATAGTTTGGGTTGGAAGGGACCTTAAAGTTCATTTTGTTTCAACCCCCCTGCCATAGAGAGGGGCACCTTTCACTAGACCAGGTTGCTCAAAGCCTCATCCAAACTTGTGAAAAATATATTTGGAAGAGGAAAATAAACAGAATAATTTTTTTCAATCTAGATAGTTTTAAATGAAAAATATTTTGTCTTTTATGATTACTCCCTGTAAGGTCCATGAAACTTTTATGCAGAATTTAAGTGATTTTCTAGGATTCTGTTAAACAAGGGCTCTTTCTTCTCCTATCTTCTTCATAAAGGCAACAGGAGAATTTTAAAAGCGTTTTTTCCAAATGTTTGTCTCAACAGGAAAATGGGGATTGAATTCTTTCTTAGTGTGCTCTTTGCATGCAGGCTGGTAGAAAACAGATAAGAACACAAGAGAAAATAATTCCATATGGAGAAAAAAAGAAGGTGGAAATCTCTGGGAGATTTTCAGTTTACTTTTAATTCACGTACCAGAGAATTTGGTTTCATAAAATTTCAGAAGTGGATGTAAAAAAAAGAGGCAAAACATATTTTAAAAAGAATTTATCAACATTGTTACTGTGATGACATACATCTAAGTACACCATGAAATATTAAGTATGAATCCCAAGTAGAATTCCAGCTAATGATAACAAAAACCTAGGGGACTTTGCAAAGAATGGAGTAAAAGCTGGCTAGTGTATATTGTTACTGATACTTGAAGTTGTCTGAAGCCTGTGGCTCAGTGCTCAGTAATGCTGTATCTGTGTATTATCAAATAACTTGGCAGTATA